TCGCAAAAACCGGAATATATGTGATAGTCCTTACCGCCTTCCATCCACATACCAAATTTGAGATCGATACCTCTTTTTTTGGCGAAGTTATAGCGAAAAAACTGTTCAAAATTGATGACGTCAAATTTTCAAACTCAATTTTTAGCAACTCTAGACCCCGTAGCGCAAAACAAAGACCACCATTAGACTCCCCGTGACGAGCTGCATCGAATCAATACCCATTTTATGCAAAACTATCAACTTTAAAATTTGACCTTTTTTGGCCTGACCTTGACCTGACCTTGACCTGAACTTCACCAGAAAGTGACCTAAGCCGTACCTGATAGTCTTATAACCAATACCATTGAGTTGGAAATGAAAAATTGGCCATAAAACATGCATCACACAACCTTAGTAAAGTTGGGCTCATGTGACCTGACCTGTGACCCTTGGTGACCTGACCTGTGACCTGACCTGGTATTGTCAGTGACCTCTAATAGTAATATATCTACTAGGCAACTGACGCCCTATCGCTGATTCTCGACAAAATGCGTTTTCCTCGGTGTTATAGCGCATTCCCTAGAAGACCCGTGAACGGTGAAACATTTCATCTTTGACCTGACCTGTGACGTCATCGGTGACCCCGAGGTCAATGAAATTTGGTTTTCCTCGACAAATTTGACAGGCCTTTCGAACGCCGTTTGAATTTTGCGGATCCGTCCAGTAGTTTCGGAGATACGAGGGGGGGGCAAAAAATAGCCCCCCCCCCCCCCACCAGGTCGCGTTATAAACAGACCCCACCAGGGCGCGGGCTAGAAAACAAAAACGACTGCTATAGTATCGGAGCAACATATGGTGCCATAGGTCTGAGATAGCCATAAATATTTTCCTTGACAAAAGCTAGTAGTTGATATATGATGAGGTATCAGCAGTACACTTCTTCAACCTAAATCGTAAGAAAATGAGATGAATGGAAACCGTATATGTAAGTACACTAAACCCGCGCCCCACTGGGAGCGGCGGCTATTCATAGCCCCACTCCCGTTTTTTTGCAATAACTTCTAAACCGCTTAACATATTGCCGCCAAACTTTCAGTACCTTCGGCTGCATCAATTTGACACCTTATGTCAAAATTTGAACTTCTTATCTAGCATAGGTCGGCGGAAACGACGTCAGAGTGACGTCATGTTCGGCCGATTTCGACACAAAACATTGAACCACGGGAATCGCTCCCAAGAGCTCAGTTTTTTAGCTAGATCCAATTTTTTTTGCATGAGAGGACTCAAAATGGACTGTGCTGTGACCTAGCCTCAGCTGTATTCAGATGAAAATGGCATCAAATGACACAAGCGACACCGGATTCGAAATCTAGGGCCTAAATGGACCATAAAACACGCGTCACGTGACTGACTTATGATATCATATTCCCGTGACCTGTGATGACCTGACCCTGACCTGAAAATCAAAGTACAAGTTTGGTACCCTCAGGGTATCTAAAACACCTGCTCACGAGTGTGTAAACCAAAAATCAGCCTGATCTGACTTGTAAAACGGCAGCTAGAGCCCAAAATGTGAACAAGCCAAACATCGATAATTTTTACTTTGACCTGACCTGTGACGTCATCGGTGACCTCGAGGTCAATGAAATTAGGTTTCGTTTGACAGTTTTTCCGGGGCTATCAGATGCCCTTTGAATTTTGACGATCGGCCCAGTAGTTGAGTAAGGAGGGGGGCTATGAATAGCCCCCCCCCCCCCCGTAGGGCACGTTATACACAGACCCAGACAGATAATATTTTTGGACTTCCAGAGCCCTTCGCCCTATATCTTCGAAGGGTGGACACCATCCCGCCCCAGAGAAACAGGCCCGGGGGTAAAAGCGCGAGCGTTCCGAAGATTGTCTCTGAGCATGACGGGGTATACGCGAACTATATAACTGATTCAGCTCATAGAGCAATTGCAGCCATGCAGAGCTCCTCAACCTGCTGCAGAGGAGCTCAAGCTGCTGGAATACCCTGCGTGCGATATCGTTGCCGCCGATGAACAGGGCGACCTGTTGTGTCTGGCGCCGCAGGAGACAGTGGAAACGCTTATCACCGACACGTTCGCTTGTTCCGCTTTGCCTTGCAATTATGCCCTAAGCGGGCGGTATAATGCGTTATGCAACAGCGTTGACTATGCAAGGTCATAAGCCAGTCGATACTAAGACGACCGGACTAGGTGCAAAGCCATAAGCAGACCATACCGGAGACGACCGGACTATACATATTTACAAGGCCATAAGCATCGGCGACATCGGAGACGACTGATTTAGGTGCAAGGCCATAGGTGCAAGGCCATAAGTTTCCGATGATTGACCAGTAATGCGCATTTCACACAGGCTTGGGTGATACCGGAGACGACCGGACTATGCAAGGCTATGAGCAGGCGATACCGGAGACGACCGGACTATGCAAGGCCATGAGCAGGCGATAATGGAGACGACCGGACTATGCAAGGCCATAAGCAGGCTATACCGGAGACGACCGGACTATGCAAGGCCATGAGCAGGCGATAATGGAGACGACCGGACTATGCAAGGCCATAAGCAGGCAATACCGGAGACGACCGGACTATGCAAAGGCCATGAGCAGGCGATACCGGAGACGACCGGACTATGCAAGGCCATGAGCAGGCGATACCGGAGACGACCGAACTATGCAAGGTCATAAGCAGGCTATACCGGAGACGACCGGACTATGCAAGGTCATAAGCAGGCTATACCGGAGACGACCGGACTATGCAAGGCCATAAGCAGGCGATACCGGAGACGACCGGCTCATAATCAAGCTCTGCATTGAAACGACATCATTGAGACACTTGTTATTAAACTTGAGATAAAAAGCCAGTTTGACTCAGCAGGTTAAAGTCGGTATGACTGGGGTAAGACATAAGCGGAAAGCAGCTCCGTATAGCATTGCCTTCGTAACGTTGTCTTCGTATACGAAGACAACGATTGCATTGCTAGAGGCGTGACGCAAAAACCGTCAAGTGACACACCCGGATAATGCATGTAGTTTGAGAGAAAACTCTGTCTGGGGGGCTCAAACATAGCTCTGGTATTGCAGCCGGCATTCGGCAGTACCGGGAACGACGGGAGCATAAGCGAGCTATATATACTGAGCTGATGAGTTACTGAATTTGAGAGATGCTATGCTCTACTGGACATTTCATTACTTTAATAATTTGTTTGAGATATTTAAGATATCGAGTGCAAATTATCCTATGTGCTTCTAACGAGGTATTACGCATTGGGCTATGGAAACGGCCGGGAGATACCTACGTACTAATTTCTCCGACGGCTGCACCGGAGACGACCGGAGCCGAGACTGCACTAAGCCGACAACGCAGCTGTGAAATGTGTTACGGAAATTTGACCAGTAGTACGTATTTTATTGGTTTGCCATTAACAAGGCGGCAGCACCGGAGTCGACCGGAGCCTATGCTAGCTCGACCCTTTTATTGGTTTGCCATTAACAAGGCGGCAGCACCGGAGTCGACCGGAGCCTATGCTAGCTCGACCCTGAGACGACAACGCTTTGAACGCGCGCTCGACTCAAACGCAGCGCTAGCTGAATATGCTACTGAAATTTGACCAGTATTTTACTGGTTTGCCATTAACAAGGCGGCAGCACCGGACTCGGGTGCGACCGTAGCATAAACAAGTTATTCATATACTTATATATATACTTATATATATATATACTGATAATATGCACTGAGCCGACAACGCAGCTGTGATGCCTATAAACGACGGAAAAGTCGCAAATAGTGCAGCCTTTTCTTTACATAGTCTGCCGTTTAATACGAAGAACCGGCAATGCCGATAAAATGACCGGACAAACAAGCCAACTTGTGTTACCTAAAAATGTGGTATGTGGCGTGCCAACATGGCGTACTCTAAGTAATAGCCGGTAACACTTGGCATGGCCGGAGAAAAATCCAACATGTCCTGAGCCAGTGCAATTGAGAGGCCTTTATGCTACTGTCTCATGCCAGAAAACGCAGCATTTAATGCGTCAGGCTGCCCTGTGTGCCGGAGACAACCGGAACTTGACTACTAATGGAATAATATTGCCAAGTGACGCGTACTTCTGCTCATTTCTGCTCGTTAGAGAAAAAAAGCAAACCATAGACGCACGGGGCACGCGTTAAGCGAGCCCTGTACTGAGGCAGCAATGCATAATGAGTCGTGTTACCCAAGGCTACTTTGTGTTACCAGAGTTTTATTATTTTTTTTTTATTTTGCAAAACGCCCGGAGACGACCGAGGTTGAGGCAAGCGATGCACTGAGACGCCAATGCAGCGGTGGAAAAGCTCATATGTACTAATCCATCGCAAAATTTTCATGCCAGGCTGCTGTAATAGCTGTAGTGATGTAGCTGTAAGTTATTTGTCCATCACTCACTTATGTATCTGCGTCCGAATCTGGTCAATGCGAATCGCCTCATGCGGGAGAGAGGTCAGTAGGTCAATGCCCCGGGGGCCCAGTGGGCAGGTCGGCCGGACTAGTGTCCGGGCCGCGCCGGCCAGGCACCAGACGCCGATAAATGCCCCGAGGCATGAGCAGCTGATGCGGCTGGCGACCGTCCACGGCACAGACGGGGAAGGAAACCGGTAGGCGGGGACGGAATTAGACCGTCCCATGCAGCTCAAAACTCAGCGAGAAGTTAGATTTTGCTTGATTGGTGCTACCTATAGGTACTTAGGTAATTTACAAACGAGCCTCCTAAAATGCGAAAATCATGCTGCTAGACCGGAGGTTGACGAGGTAGACCGGAGGGCCGAGAATATTGCGCGCACAGCACAGACTGTCAAGCTCGCACGTAACGCGAAACATTAAGATGTCATCAGCGATGAAACCAGTCAGACTTGGAAAGTCAAGTCCAAGCAAAGAATCTAGATGCAATATCTGCTGATCGGCAATGCGGCCGCAAAGGTATCGACATAGTTATCACTAATGCGATCTCCAAGACACCTCACCTCCAGTGCTGTCAAGCAGCAGCAGTGTCGAAAAAAACACGACACGTCACGAAAAGCAGGAAGCGCCGCGCTCAGCCCACGGCTCAGTGGCTGACTGCTCTCGGCGGCGCTGCGAGCGCGAATGACCCGGGCTCGGGTCATGCGGACCTGACGAGCGGGCGGTATGACGCAATCACATGGGCGGCGCTCGCCCTCACCGCGGAGAAAAAACATTATCAGTTGACTTATAATGTTACATTTTGGACTTATTTTAATATCATTTCATTGTATCATGAGCATAAGGTCATTTTCTACCATCATAATATTCATAATTATGCTCAAACTAGCCATAGCTCACCTTAATGTGATCGCATCGAATAAGGTTCGGTTTTGAGTAATCAGAAGTAGGTATTTGCAACTTGCAAGCCTTTGGACTGAGAAGCGTGGCCATACATGCTATAAATTAAGAGCCCAGAAAAATGGTTGAGACTCTTAAACTCTAGAACAGAAAACACTGGAGCTAAAAATAGCAAGATGATGGCTGGTTCACTACCGCGCGGTTCGGTTAAAACAACCATCAGTGCGCATTGTGGGTTCAGTTGCCTCTCATTAGCCCGCCTTTTACGGCCATGCCACACGGCCTACAAATGGCAACAGACCAAACCAGACTGCAAAATGACTCTGGTGGCCTCCAGACGGACGGAATGACTCGTCTGGGTGTCTGCTGTCAGTGCCCCCGTCTCCACCCCCCCCCCACCCCCCCCCCCCCCCCAGTGGCACCCCCCCCCCCCCAATCCTGGCCGCAGGCATCACTCGCGGTATAACTCCGACCCACAGTCCACACCCATCCGTTTTCAGCCCCGGGTCCAGCGTGGCACATTCGCTCTTCCAGTAAACGTTTTTCGCTGGCGCCGCACCGGTTCCCATTCGCTGCCTCCTACTGTCGGTCATTCATCAATTTTAACGACAGCGAGGCCATCAGGTGCAACGACATGAGATCGCGCTGGCGGAGAGGTACTAGGAACCAACGTGCGTTAGTAGACTGTTGTCTGAGGCGGGCGATGGGAAGCTACTGATTGTAAAACGGGCGAAGTGGGCGCCGCCGACTTCCGAGCATTTATCGCATTGCTCCCGACGGGCTCATTTTCTGTCAAGTGATGTAAGCTGAGGACGAAGGGCCATAAGTTGAGAATTACCACATTTTTATTGACACTCAGCAGAAAAGGAAAATCAAACGATGGGTAGTGGCTTTGCAGACTGGTAAATGCCGGACGGAGACAGAGTAACATACTTCTTGAATCATAAGACCGAGAAAAGGCTTCTAGTTAGTAAAAGATTCTGGGTAGCCAAACTGTTGTTACGAGACTGAAAGGATAACCGATGAGGGTCATTCTTATTTGAGGGAATTTCAGGTATCTTCTCCTTTGTCGATAGCGCATCAAGAGGCTTCAACTCAGACGCAGGCCAGCACAGCTCTGATACAGAAGACCCTTAATAGTCGCAGAAAGTCCATTGTCCAGAATGAGTAAAAATACACAGTATTTGCACTCTGCAAGCACAGCTGACCCTCGAGCCCTTCAAGCAGAGACAATCTCAAAATCACGGCAAAATTTGGTGCGCGACAAACTCAAAAAGGAAATGTTATTGAACATCTCATTTAAAAAAATCAAACGTACCATTATTTTGGGGTATTTCGCTCTTCGAACTTATCTTTGGTAAAACAGCGTGCTACCAATAAATTCATGTCTGTCTGAGGCTGGGTATCTACACTGCGTCTTTATAGCAGGAAGCCCTTGAAGTCGTGCTAGTCTGCCAGAAATGTAAGCTTGTGCATCCTCAGACGCATTTTCTTCATAGCTGTCATATATCTTTCACTTAGAAACAAACAGGGATTATCCATGTAAGCTCATTAGCATGCTCTGTAAACGAGCGATTAGTTTGCCTTCATGTCTGAGAACTGCTATAAAAAGCAACAAACGCAACACAGCGTGTCAGCTTCGCTGTCGGAGCTGATTTTTCACAGCAATAAACAAGGTCATTCACTGACAGAGAAATAGCACGGTACGCATTGAAATGGGTTATTACTGAAACTATACCCACTATCACACTAAGTATAGGGGACATCACCATCGAAGCTATGACTTACCCCCGAGACGTTTATCCCTGTAATTCAATGGCGTAGTAAGTGCGACAACCGGTGTTTTTCGTTTCAAAATGAAATAGCAATTGAGAGAGTTGTCAAATATTTCACAGCACTTCCTGCTTATTACATAGATCGGTCAATAAAGTAAAGGAGATTACATGGCCGAGCAAAATTTATTCAATTTAGCACTACTAAAGCCCTTACCACCAAGTTTGTACATAATTACTGGAACGTAATGCTGTTTAAACAGAATACGATTTATGTGTTTCCTCAGCGGTAAAATGTTGATCCTTGTCTTACTGTTATTACATGGATATGTAGTGGGTCTACACGAAAGAAACAACAGAAACCCTGTACTTAGTGAGCACCCGGGGCTAAATAGGAGCGTTGAACCTCCAGGAGTATTTGATTTGCGTCTATCAGTGACTCAAATCACACGCCCACTGCCCACGTGCACAAAATGAGTCCCAAAGTCCAAAGCGACGTCTGATAGATCCTGGTAGTCTGATGCCGATAAAGCGTTGACACTGTTTCCGTTCAGTATAGCTGGAGAGGGGACAAAAAACGCCAATCTCCAAGCCTTGGTTTGGCCATCCTACACTACAATCTATATCAACTTCCAATAAGAATGAGCATTGATCATGCAACGAACACTGAACAGTGCCGAAGGCCGCGCATATACAACCTCCTGGTGGCGAAGGCGAGGGACATCTGAGAGAGAAAGGGATCAATGAAGCATTCAAATAACATCTTGCGCATAATCCCAGTGAACTAGCGAACTTTGTGGCGAAGTCCATTTAAACCTCTCTATGGAAGGGAAAAGGACGCCGGACCAGTAGCGGCAGAACACCTTCAATTAAGAGGGGGGCACTGCCGACTTTTGGTCCCATTTTTTTCCATGCAACGCCCATAGGGCTAATGTTAAAATGCCAAAATCAAAGGGGGCACGGTGCCCCGGTGCCCTCCCCGTTCCGCCGCCTATGTGCCGGACGGACATTGCGTCGCCTTATCACAATAATTTAGTGCACCGTCTGCCTTATTACCAATTTGACCTCACCCCTGTTGATGGTGTACTAATGGCGGGGCTGTCCGTCTCTGTCAGGGTAGGTGATAAATCGCCGACATCGCTCCAGCCCCCTCCCCCCTCCCCTCCGTCGTCCGGGGAGCAGACATCACACCGCTGTCGGCCGGGGTACGGACCGGCCATTTCGGCCCGAGCCCCGCCCGACTGACCAGCGTCGATGATCGTGTGGGCGGGGCCTCCGCCTGCGTCGGTCGTCGGCGCCGACTATCGTCGTTTTCGTCGGACGTCGTCGGCCATCGCGCGCGGTCGGCAAACCGACGAGGGGTACACTGGCGGCGGCGATGAAAGATAGTAGTTTAGAGAAATGCCGACAGATGTCACTACTGATACCTGGTGACCGCCCGGTCGAGAGACTGCTATGGCACGGGCGGCGGACCAGCCATACGCGGCGGACGCTGGGCTTTAGATAGGGGTGGGACTGGGAATATGCAGGGCCTTGGTTGGAGCCTAAGATAGAGCTGAGCCCAGCTGAAGGCCTCCCGTATGTATCTGCTCGGACGCTGGTCCTGTTTTAGGATCAGAGAGACGACGGGTGGACCTCAAACAACTTCTCATAATATTCAAATAATTCCATCATGAAATAAAACAAATTATTTTTAGGAAATTGAAAAAACGAATCATAGACTTAGTCTAACTTCCCAAAAATATAATGAAGAATAAAACCTTCAACGCCCGGCTTGCTAAGTCATGCTGAGAAAAGTGAGTAAATACAGCGATAAAGAATCACATAAAGTCAGCCACTGCGGGAGGCACTTGATATATCTTTTAAAACATAAACAACACACCATTAGAATGAAAAAATTTGGACATTTGACATGACACAAACGGAATGCTTGCTTGTGATACTTCGTTAGCCAAAAGGTGCTCGAATTGGATTCGTTTCTCAGCACAGCAGAGCTCTGCCCGGCGTCGGGTGTGCCGCGCCTTGCACCTCAGACGGTCGCAGGCCATCCTACTGGCGAAGCCTTGGACTACTCACGGCAGCCTGCAGTTCACCTCACGGCTCACCAAGGATCTTGAGTTCGTTCTGGAAATTCTTGAACTGATTGGGACCAGAAGCAGAAGTCCAGGCAGGAAAAATCCGGACTGTAGGTTGGCCAGGGAGGCTTTCCTTGTTGGGTCCTGAAGATAGGAGAGAGTCTAGCAGGTCTTCAAAAATCAGCCCAATATCCACCTTGGCAAGGCTTTAGGAGACCTTAGAATGTCTTCTTTGAATGCTGTCCCTTCCGCTGACAGCATGGTGTCGAGGCTGGAAGCGTGCACCTTCTGGCTCAGTCAGCTGGAAGAATGGCTCAAACGGGTGATTTGAAGTGCCACGAGAGGTGGTTTGTGCTACAGCAAGCACCCAACAGGAAGAATACTATCTCCTGGTCACCGACGAATCCACGGAAGCTGATTCAATGAAAGAAAGCGTACGGATCGACTCATGGCCGACCTCTGCCTCGCGGAGAAGAGAGGGAATTTTAGCACCTCCTGTAGACAAACCAAGTGTCACAACCGACTTCCATTTGTGTGATGTCAAATACCCAAGATTTATCATTCTAACGGTGTATTGTTTATGGGTTGAAATGTATATTGTGTGCCTCCTGCTAGGGAGTACTTTATTATCATTTTTTGTTGCACGGGCGTCACTTTCTTAACCCTCGCCCTGGCAGGGGGGGGGGGTCGATGCGACCCCCCCCTAAGGTTTTTCGAAGATAGCGTAAAAACGGCGGCGCGCAGCGCCGCCAAATTTGGCACAGCCTATGGGGCAACCTTTTTACATATGACCTGAAAATTTCAGGTCCGGGTGACCTTGGGTCAGGTCACCAGGTCAGAAAAACCGGTACAAGGTCAAGGTCAAATTTCAATTTTCTTATTGCACCTGTCCAGCTCACAGTTTTCGACTGATTTCCTTCAAACTTTCAGGATGTGCTAAGTTCACCGAGTTGTATAACATATATTCCGGTTTTTTTTAGGTCACTGACCTGAGGTCAGTTAGAGGTCATTACGTCGTAATGTTAAGCCTATGGGAAAATGCTAAAT